CTAACTGGAGGATTCCCTTTAGTATTTCTTGTAATTTTGGTTTGGTTTTTGCAAATTCCCTAAACTTCTGTTTATCTGGAAATGCCCTCACTTCACCATCGTATTTGAGAGACAGTTTTGCTGGATATATAATTCTTGGCTGGCAGTTTTTTTCCTTCAAGGCTTTATATATGTCATCCCATTGCCTTCTGGCCTGTATGGTTTCTGCTGAGTAGTCCAAGCTTATTGTTATTGACTCTCATTTGTAGATGGCTTTTTGTTTATCCGTAGCCACTGTTAAAATTCTCTCTTTATCTTTTGTTTTGGCAATTTTGATTATGATATGTCTTGGTGACTTTTTTTTGGGATCTACCTTATGTGGGGTTCGATGAGCATCTTGGATAGATATCTTCTCATCCTTCACGATATTGGGAAGTTTTCTGTCAACAAATCTTCAACAGTTCTCTCTGTATTTCCTGTTATCACCTCCTTTCTGGTACTCCAGTCACTTGTAGGTTATTCCTCTTGATAGAGTCCCACATAATTCTTAGTCTTTCTTCATTTTTTTAGTCCTTTTATCTGATTTTTCCTCAAATAAGTTGGTGTCAAGTGCTTTATCTTCAGTCTCACAAATTCTGGGTTCCATTGCCTCAATTCTGCTCCTATGGCTTTCTCTTAAGTTGTCTAGTTCTGAAATTTTATTGTAAATCTTTTGGATTTCTGATTGCTGTCTCTCTATGGATTATTGCAGCCTGTTGGATTTGTCATTATGCTCTTCTGTAATCTTTTTAAATTACTCTATCGCGTGGTCTGCGTTTTGCTTAATTGCCTTCCTAATTTCTTGAAGAGTTCTGTATATTAATCTTTTGTATTCTGCCTCTGGTAGTTCCAAGAAATTTTCCTCCTCTGGAAAATTTCTAGATTCTCTATTTTGGGAACTTGCTGAAGCCATCATAGATTGCCTGTTTATGTGATTTGATATTAACTGTTGTCTGTAAGCCATCCGTAAGTTATTATATTTATTTATTTTATGTTTGCTTACTGTGTCCTAGCTTCTTGTTTTGTTTTGATACGCCCACGTAGGCTGCTCATGTGAGCTAGTTTGATTATTGGCACCGTTAAAGCTCTAATGTCCTGTCATCAGGTGGTTAGATCTGTTACTAGGTATGTGAGCTCAGGAGTCTGCCCACTCCTCCTGTATGGATTCAGGTCAGGTGCCCCATTAGATAGCCACCAAGTGTGTGGTGTAGGCCCTTGCCTACAGTCCTAGACAGGCATGGGTGATTGGTGTAGGCACAGTCATCTGGCTGCAGCATAGGGACACACTCTGAGCAAGGCAGGGGGCTTATGGCTGCCTCCAAGTGTCCAGGAGGAAGATGTGTCCCTGTTCCCTAGAGTGTGTAGGTGGGTGGGTTTTGCCATGGGACTATGAGCAGCTAATGTTGTTGGTTTAAGGACTGGGGGGGTACCTCTTATTCATGGGCCCCTGTTACAGGTGGCTAGGTGGCATGGGTGGAGCCACCATACTCAGGCCCCTGATGTGGGTAGGTGAAGACCCTGCTTAATGGGCAGAGCAGTGTCAAGTGTCATGAACCTGCCATTTCACAACTGAAACAGCTGAAGTTAGACTTCAGGAATATACCCTGTAGTACTGCAGTAATGAGGGTCTTCACTGTTGAATTGAGCCCACACAAGTCTCTGCAGGGGTAAAGACACTCAGAGTCCATGGATCCCTTATGCCTGTGCCTAGGCAATGAAGTTGTGCCTACCCTGGGTTCCTGGCTTAGGGGAGCCAGCAGTTTATTTTTTCCACTGTTTGTTAATTTGTTCTCTTTCCAAGGCCGCTTATTCCCAAATATTGACCAACACTTCTCCGTGTTCCATTAGGGCATGACTCGTCATTGACCTATTAATATACTGTTCTTTCTCCATCTAAATTCTTTCTCTCCTAGGAAACGTGTTTAAATCTCTCATTTCTGTGATGCTTTCCTTGGTCACTTGGTCCATACTAATCATCTGTTTTTCAGATTTCTTATGCTTATAATCAGTTCCCAAATCAGGCATGTTTCATACATGCTCACAAAATATTAATTGTTGGATGTGATTATAATGATTAAAATTTGAATAACTTTTTAGCATAAACAGAATTATTTTCAGGTGTACTATATTATTCATTCTCATATCTAATTGAGTGTAATATATTGTGTTGTCTTTATTTTACAGTAAAAAAAATTGAGATCCAAAGAAACTAGTAGTTTTTCCAAAGTCATCTTGATTTTAAAATTTGTGCTATTCCATAATGATTCTTAATTGTAGTAGGTGTATTGCTCTATTATTTTTTATTCTTCATAACTGTGATATTTTGACTTTTTCTGTCATTTATTTTGGAGGAGGTTGTACAGGAAGAGTGTTGTTTCTGTCTCAGTGACCTTGGATGACTTTTCCTTCCCAGACCCCCTTTCCTTCCCTTTTCTTTCTTTAACTTCCTATATTTAATAGTATATCTTCTGATGACAGCAGCTGTAGCTGTCAAATTTTTTTCACTAGTTTCTTTTGAAGTGCTACTGAACTTTACTGTTTCATGCCTACCTACAAGTATGTTACCTAAATGGCATAACATTTTTGCTGATATAACAAACTCACATTGCTCACTTGTATTCTGAATTTCTCCTTGTATTCTGTTTACAACATTAGCTTTTATTTTTGCCTGTTGAATTATATCCTGTTTTATAGGAATAATTTTAAATTGTCAAGGTTGTTTGTTATTTTGTGTCTGTCTTCCTGGTATCAACAACACCATCCATTTTGCTGTCATGTGTGAATTTAGTTTAGATGCTTGAATACCTCAGGTCATCAGTAAAGACTAGAATGAACAAAGTGTAAGAGTCTGGACATATGAGCTATTGGAATTTTTAAAATAAGCAGTTAATAGCTTTATATTTTTGTCTCCGTAAGTGTAATTAGATCTTTATAATAGATTGGAGGAAAAGGAAGAACTTATGTCTTCCCTTCATGTCTAGGTTGGATAGCTTTGAATGAGTCTAGATACTGTGAATCAATGACAATCCATTTTTATGTCTTAGGTAGATCAAAGACCTCAGTGTGCTGTAGAGCTGACATGAGGCAGATTGTTGCTTATGTCCTTTTAGATTTAATTAATTCTCTTTTTTAGGGTATCATCAGACATTTCATGATGTAAATATTTTGCTTGTAGGCAATGAAATCTCCAGAGTTAAAAGACCGGCTGGAAGAATCAGAGAAGCTAATCCAGGAAATGACTGTGACCTGGGAGGAGAAATTAAGGAAGACTGAGGAGATTGCACAGGTTTGTGATTTCTGACTTGAGAGATATAAAATTTGTTTGCACAGTGGGACACAGATGATTCTTTTTGAATTTTAGTTCTGCACATGGTAAATCTAGCACCATTAATAGGAATCTAGATCCAAGAGGAAGTCCCTGAGTGATGCAAATGGTTAAGTGGTTTGAACCCACCCAGAGTTACCTCGGAAGACAGGTCACAGCCTCGAAAGCCCTATGGAGCGGTTCTACTCTGCACACACGGGGTTGCCATGAGTCAGAATCCACTTGACGGCGGCTAACAACAACAACAGATCCAAGAGAGTATATGCTTTACAAAATTAGTTTGAAGAATAAAGAAGGCATGAATATGCTTACAATTGATGGTTTGTATGCAATAAATAAATAATTAATTTTTAGTGTTAGAGTAATCTTTAAAACATTTTTTAGATAAAATAACCACTTTGTAGCCTCTGGCTCTGAACAACCAGTTCTATTAATTGCTTTACAGGAATTTACACAAAGTACAAAATTATTAGTAGCAGATATTAGGGTGTGAGCTTTCTTGCTTCCATATGACAGCTCAGTAAGAGTATTATCCTTATTGATGACAAAGCAGTTCCATACACATTTATCTTAGTTGATGCTTTTCCTTTCAGTCTTTTCAGTTGAGATTATTTTGTAATGTATCAGTACATTGACTTACTGTGAAATTAATTCTCCTTACCGTGGCCCACCAGGCCAGAATGATCTTGACCTCTCTCTCTTTTCCAATCTCATCTCATAACATAAAACAGAATTTTATTTAATCCTCTCAAAAGGCCTAGGAGATAAGGGACAGTTAATCCTCAATTTAGTTCTTCAGTTATTTGAAATCACCTCTCTGCCTCTTCCCCTTCCTTTTCAAAGTTAAAAATCCCTAGTGATTTCAACTGTTTCTTGTAACAGAATATATAGAACTCACTACAGGCAGTCCCCAAATTAAGATAGGTTCTGTTCCGATGACTCCGTTATAAGTTAGTTCTGACGTTGAGTCAAATACCTCATTCTTTTTAGTCTTCATTATTATTGCCTTTTATTATCAGTATCTTTATAAATCATAATATTGAACATCTACCGTTGTACATCTGAGAATGATAACATCGGCAAATTATGTGCTACAAAATTGTATGTAGTACGTATTACTAATGATGAGATGTACAGAAAAAAATAATAAAACAGACTGTCGTAAGTGCAGTTTGTTGTAACTTGAATATGTCGTAAGTCAGGGACTACCTGTACATCTTTTGTCACCCAGTAGATTCTATCTTTAAATGTTCTGTTTTGAATAAAATTTAAGATGTTGTAGGACACTTCTGTTATTACTTAGCATAATCTGGATATTATATTTATAGCAGTGCATGCTAGGATTTAATTTGATTTTTTAAACTCTTTTACTATAGAATTTTTCAAATATAGATAAAAGTAAGAGAAGAGTATAATAAAACCACATGTACCTATCACCCAGTTTCATTAAATATTAACATATGGCCAGTTTTATTTTATCTATATCCGCATACTAGGTTATTTTAAAATAAATTCTATACTAATTTATGCCCTACATTTTTCACTTAGTATTATTTCATGAGCATTTCCCCCATATCATTTGTAAATAAATGTTACTTCTCACTATGGGAATAATTCTTCAATTATTTACCAAAAACCCTATGTAAAAGAACCTGTCTCTCAAAAGGAACCACAGAAGGTATATAAGAATTGCTGTCTTCATTTTATGAGCATGGTTTTTTTATCAAGGATAGTAATTTCTTGGACTTGAGTGCTGAAAACTCTTAACATCTCCTCTTAAACTGCTCAAAATTTCTGAAAGAGTCCTGTAATTCTTTTTGTTAAACAAGAGACTTGATTCAAGGTCCCAGGACCAAAATATCCCTTTATTGCTTTTGTAATAGTGTGTTTGTAGGCAACACGTAGACTGAGTTGCAGTACCCATATAAATTAGGATGGTTTGCCTAGAAATGGAAAAATTCTGAGGCTTTATTTTAATTATACTGCAAACTTAACTGAGTAAGTAAGTTTGGCAAAAATTATTTAGCTACAGTAATCTGTTGTCTTTCCCCCAAATCAAAGGCCCTTTGTGCATGTGGCTCATAACTTACTTGCTGTTTATAAATAGTCAGAGACACCCGACGTTGCCCTGATCACACAACTTAATCATAGAGCATTGGGTTGTAGGATTCATATATTATATTCATAACATTCCTATATTATATGAGTTAAGAGGCAGGTAGGCATAAAGGATTGTATTCTTCTGAAAATAGTTCTTGAATGCATATGCATGTTTTGTTTTGATAAGTTCACACTACTTCTTTGAGTGTTCACTCTGTGTTACACACTGTCCTATGTGCTAGGAGTGTAACATAACATAGGATCTGTGTCCTCAAAGAGCTTACAGTCTGGTGTGGGAGAAATGGTTAAGTAAACAGATGATTACACCAAGTATGATAACATGTATGCTCCAGATAGAAGGAACAGGTATAAAATCCCTCAAGCTAAAGAGAGCATTCTTGACAATTTAAGTGACATGGAAGATATTCTATATGACTGCAGTACAGGGTTTAAAAGTAGGAGTGACAAGAAATGAAGATGGAGAGGAGAGTAAATGGGCCAGATTGAAAGGTCTTGTGAACTTTGTTAAAGGAGCTTGACCTTTATCCTGACTGCAGAGTCACTGAAGATACCAAGCAAGAAACTATCTTAAAAGCTTTGCTTTTCAGAAAGATCAGTTGAGTAACATGCATTCACATTTGCTCATATATACAGAATTAAATGAGAAATATGAATTTAAGTTGTTAGGTATTTTCAAGAATGAAACTTGAGAACTCAAGTTTGGTTACTATTTGTAATGTGCATTATTTTTCAAAATAAAAAGCTATAAAGAAATAAAACTATATCATTTGGAAAGAAGAGAAAAATGTGATCATCTGCAATACGATATCCTAAGATAACATATTAAAATGTAGAATTATTTATATGAGCAGACCTTTTACCAAAGAAGATATTCAAGTGGCTAACACACATGCGGAAATGCTTGCAATCACTAGCCATTAGAGAAATGCAGATCAGGACTACAATGAGATACTATCTCACCCTGACATCACTGGTACTAAGAAAAAAAAAAACAGAAAATATTGAATGTTGGAGAGGTTGCAGGGAGGTTGGAACTCTTATGCATTGCTGGTGGAAATGCAAAATAGTACAACCATGATGAAAAATGATATGGTGCTTCCTTAAAAAGCTAGAAATACCATACGATCCAGCAATCCCATTCCTAGAAATATATCCTAGAGAAGTAAGAGCCATCACACGAATAGACATAATGCACACCCATGGTACCCATGTTCATTGCAGCATTATTCACAATAGCAAAAAGAAGGAAACAACCTGAGTGCCCATCAACAGATGAATGGATAAACAAATCTTGGTACGTATACACAATGGAATACTATGCAGTGAGAAAGAACAATGAATCTTTGAAACATCTCACAACATGGATAAATCTGGAGGGTGTTACGCTGAGTGAAATAAGTCAGTCACAAAAGGACAAATATTGTATGCGACCACTTTTATCAAAACCCAAGGAAAGGTTTATACACAGAAAAAAAAACTTTGATGGTTATGAGGGAGGGGATGAGTGAGGATGGAAATCACTAATTAGATAGTAAACAAGTGTTAACTTTGGTGAAGGGAAAGGCAACACACAATGTAGGGGAAGGCAGCACAACTTGACCAAGGCAAAGTCATGGAAGCTTCCTAGACCCATTCCAACACCTTGAGGGACTGAACTACTGCGACTGAAGGCTGAGGACCATGATCTCGGGGGACATCTAGGTCATTTGGCATAACATAGTTCATAAAGAAGATGTTCCACATCCTACTTTGGTGAGTAGCATCTGGGGTCTTAGAAGCTTGCGAGTGGTCATCTAAGATACATCTATTGGTCCCATCACGTTCAGAGCAAAGGAGGATGAAGAAAACCAAAGACACAAGGAAAATATTAGTCCAAAGGACTAATGGACCGCATGAACCACAGCCTCCATCAGCCTAAGCCCAGAAGTAGATGGTGCCTGGCTACCACCACCGACAACTCTGACAGGGATCCCAATAGAGGGTCCTGTACAGAGCAGGAGAGAAATGTAGAACAAAATTTAAATTCACAAAAAGGGACCAGGCTTAGCTGGTCTGATAGAGACTGGAGAACCCCCGAGACTGTGGCCTCTGGACACCCTGCTAACTCAGAACTGAAGTCACTCCTGAAGTCCACCTGTCAGCCAAAGATTAGACAGGCTTATGAAACAAACAATGACACACTCGAGAAATGTGCTTCTTAGTTCAATTAAGTAAATGAGACCAAATGGGCAACACCTGCCCAAAAGCAAAGATGACAAGGCAGGAAGGGACAGGAAAACTGAACAAATGGACACGGAGAACCCAGAGTGGAAAGGGAAAGGGGAAGAGCGCTGACACATTGCAGGGATTGCAACCAGTGTCACAAACAATTTGTGTATAAATTTTTGAATGAAAAACTAATTTGTGCTGTAAACTTTCACCTAAAGCACAATAAAATTTTAAAAAAGTAGAATTATTTAATAATTATTCTAATGTTGTAAGATCTTTTATATCTTGATGCCACAATAGTTGTGGCATTAATATTTCTCTAATATATTTACAGGAGCGACAGAAACAGCTTGAGAGCCTGGGAATATCTCTTCAGTCTTCTGGAATCAAAGTTGGGGATGATAAATGTTTCCTTGTTAATCTGAATGCTGATCCTGCCCTTAATGAACTTCTGGTTTACTATTTAAAGGTGAAGTAATATGCTTTGCTACTAATTTCCTTCCATGAAATAGAATAATACTTTGCAGTGTTTTGAGGAACCATACTTATTCACAAAACAGAGTGAGCAAATTGTCTTCATTTGAATAAGCTAGTGTGTAGAAATTCTTGGGTTTCTGGGATAGGTTTCTATTTTTAGTCCTTGAGTAATGTTTTTAAGCCGAATGATGTAAAAATTGATATTCTTATGTTTCCAAAAAGTTCGTTAGCTTAACTGCCATTATTTAATGTGATTTATATAAGGGAAATATATAACTTCAAAGCTTAAAGGATGACTTTTAAAAACTAAATGATTCATTTAGTCAATAAACTAAAACTTTTGTGGCTTATAGAAAACATTTTTTTTTTAAATTAATAATTTATTTTTGTTGTTTTGGAAAATGTATACAGCAAAACATACACCAATTCAACAATTTCTACACCTACATTTCAGTGACACTGATTACATTCTTCAAGCTGTGCAACCATTCTTACCCTTCTTTTCCCAATTATTCCTCCACCATGAACATGAACTCACTGTCACCTTTTTAAGAGGAGTTTGTTAGCTCACAAGAGGAAATCGTTAAAGAAAATAAAGTTCTTAGAACCACTTGATATGAAATTTGTTTTTCCAGTGATGCATAGGAAAAAAAAAGGATTATCATCTTATAAAAAAAGGAGGGAATTTAGGTCACTTAGAGACTGAGAAGGTCAGAATATAGAACAGAATAAAAACAAATATGGATGTACTTCGAAATATGTAAATCATGGGTCATATCAGGAAGACAAGAGATAACTTTAGAATGAGCATGAAATCTGAGTCCTTACATAAATTATGAGGTGTCCTCCAAAATTGCATTTGACAAGCCTAGAGCATAAACTAATTATATAATGGACTGTAATGGCTCTAAAATTGGGTTAATATATATTAGGAGACATTTTTTTTCCTTATAGTAGAGAAACTATATATGTTGGATTAACTAAAGGGACATAGGAAAGTAAAAATAATAAGCTGATAAAATTGAAACTAGCTTTAAGATTAGATAATTGTGTAATTTCATTTCTAAAAAGACTGAAGAATTCATCACTTATTAGTTTCCCAGTTTTTATCAAAGATGCCTGGAATAATTGCATTGTGTTATTTTGATAAGCCCCTTAATTAATAATTATCTTATACCACACTTTGTTATATTGTGAGTTAAATCATGTCTTTGATACACACCATGCTGTGCGCATGTCTCAGGTATTGTGGAATAGTGGCAGCAACACTGGATTGGGAGGGAGGTGACCTGTGTTCCTAGGCTGGTATCACTGCTTAACAGATGTTTGACCTTGGTCAAGTCCTTTGCCCTCTCCAACCTATAGATTCTTTCTCTGTAAATGGAAGTTATCTCTGTTTGCTACCTTACAGGGTTCCTGTGAAGATTAAGTGAAATTGGTTATATAGAAGCACTTTATAAACAGAAGTACTATATAAATACAGTCATGTATGGCTGAATGTTCGTGCTATTAAGTTCTGTGAAATAGGATGTTATCTGATTTGGATGTTGTAACCCAGGGTTACATTCCCTGGGTTACGAACGTCTGACTTACAGACATCTTGTGCTTAAGAATGTACTGCCACAAAGCCTATTATATTAAAAATTTGAGTTAAATACACCGGGCAGCACAATGGCTTTGTATACAAGAGATGTGAGATAACACGTGTTGTGTGTGGGAAGCTACTGCGTTTGCTACGTCTGGTTAAGTACACTATGTCCTGTTCTCTGATTGGGATTTCTGAACTCTGTTATAATTTTATGGTTCCATGCATGTATTTGTGGTCGTGTATTGCCCAAACAGACATTATATGGCACATGACTGTATAAAAATATGTATTATAATGTCACTTGCTGTACTTCAAAATAATGTTGGCAGCTTTTCATGTTAGAATATCAGCTGTAGATATTCATGTTTTAGGAGACATGCAATGTTACAATATGACTCAAATATTTTGCCCTTTTTATTTCTCAGAAGTATGATTTTTTTTCTTATGTAGTTCAAATCTGAACACAAACATACACAAAAACAAGAAAAAACCCTGATTCATATCTGTTTCTTAACTTAAAAATTAAACAGAGAAACTGTTTAAAGACTTTTGGACAGTAGTCAAAATATTTCTGGTCATCTTGTGTGGAGGTGTTTGTATTCTGTTTCAGACTGTGTGGTCAACCCTGTTTTGGCAGAGTTGGAGGCAGTATTGATTTCTTGACTGCCCAAGCTAACCCCATGACAAGAGTATATTCATGACAAAGCACATTCAAAAGGATTATCTCAGTCCAAGAACAGTTTTTGTTTCAGTAAAATGATACCATGATGTGGGATGGAGGAATTTGGAGGCACAGCTTTTTTTATTTCTTGGCCTAAATTCTCAAGTCAGTTTAGATGGTAGGCAGATGACTTAACATCTCTGGATGCCCTTAGCCACTCCATGTGTAAATTCAGGGCACCGGATTAAAGTGTTTCTGAAGTTCTTCCTAGCTTCAGATTGTATGGATCTATTTTTCTAGAAAAGAATCTTCCATTTTCTTATTCTGTCTAGAACTGGCGGCAGCAAGGTATGGTGGCCAAGCTATTGAGAGAATATAACCCATAAAATAATTTTGCATCTTATTTGTGTATAAAGACAGTCTTTGCTTTGCATGGTTCTGATATGCACAAATTTCAGTTAGAAGGGCATATTATCTGTGAGTAATTGGGTAAAGTACCAACTTTGTTGCTAAATCTTCAGTCTGCAACTTGCTACATAAGTAACAGAGCCACATTATGATCAGTGACCATTTCTTTCAAAGTCTGTCAATGATTGGTCACTATGTATCTGTTATTCAGCTCACCCATAGACAAATTACAGTCAACCTGTGAAAGCCAGAACCTGTGTAAGGCAGAAATCTGTCAGAAGAAGAAAACTCAAATCCTTTCCACTAGAAGGAGTGATAGAAAACTGGTAAGACTCCACCCTGTCAAAGGTGGAAACAGAAAACAAAGCAGTCCTTTCGAGTTCCTGCTCTTACATGTTTTACTGTATGTTGTTGTATTATCTCCCGGTGATAATCCCATGTGACATTGTATAGGCAATAGAAAGAGTGATTTGGCCAACAAAAGTGAGAGTACAGCAAAGAAACAAAAAGTGATGATACTGAAAGTGAAATTTGAATAAAGTATATATGGAGTTCTGGTGGCGTAGTGGTTAAGCGCATGGCTGCTAATCAAAAGGCCAGTGGTTCGAACCTACCATCCTCTCTGTGGGAGAGAGATGTGACAGTCTGCTTCCATAAAGATTTACAGCCTTGGAAACCCGATGGAGCAGTTCTGTCCTGCCCTATAGGGTCATTATGAGTTGGAATCAACTTGACAGCAATTGGTTTGGTTTTTGGTTTTATATATGGAGTTATGGTTAACTATTCGTGAGATTCTAGATATGTATCCAGAAGAACTTAGTAAAGGTGAACTTATTGACATAAATAAGGAAAGTGATTGTGATGAGAAGGATGAAGATATTTCAAAAGAGGTTACATTGGAAAAAACTTTACATTAAAGTAACTCTTGGAGATACTTTACAACATTGAAATCAGAAAGGATGAAATGGTAGAAACCTAGAAAGGAGCTTGACAATTTGCCAAGGCATGGAAAAGATACTCTGTATTATAAATTATACATTGAGAAGAAGGAGGCAACCCATAAACCCAGTGCTATCAGGTTGATTTTGACTTACTGCAGCTTATAGGACAGAGTAGAACTGCTCCATAGGGTTTCCAAGGCTGTAAATCTTTATGGAAGCAGACTGCCACATCTTTCACCCGTGGAGGAGCAGCTGGTGCATTCAAACTACCAACCTTTCGGTTAGCAGCCAAGCGCTTAACCACTATGCCACCAGGGCTTCTCAGAAGAAGGCAAGCACTGTTAAATTATTTTTGGTAGCTTTTTTACAGAGGAAAAAAAAGCTTTAAATCTCAATTTTTCTAGTGTTCTATATTACACTGTACTAAATATTGGTTTTACTGTTTTTTCATTTCTTAATGTTTTGATGGACATTTTTAGAGGCCACAGAATAATTGTAATTTTCCCCACTGATTATTGAGATAGTTTTGCATGGTTTCAGCTTGCTTAGTCATTTTTATGGTCCCATACTCGTGCAAAGCAAGGACTGCCTCAAGTTCTGAGGTGGTCCTTGAAATTTATACTAACAGAGCTAACTTTGCCTTAAAAACCTTATGCTAATAATGTACTTTTGTAAAAAAAAATTTATAAAAATAAGAAAAAGAATGGGGGATTAGCCCCCAAATTCTAACACCTAGAGATGACTACATTTTATATTTGTATCTGTATTCTCTAGGCCTATTCCTATATGTATATGTTTATAGATTTATATTGATATGTATTTTTTATTTACAGAAATAGGATCACAGTATGATTGATTCTAATGGTCCCTTTGGCTTATCGACCAAATCTTTCAGGAGCGCTGTCTTGCTCATACAATTCTGGATCTGTTCTTTGCACAGATGAACTCCTAATAGCTGTGCGAGCAAGGATGATTCTGAAGAATTCTGGGAACATTATACATATACATACTTGATAAGGATTTGTACTGGTGATTTAGCAGCAGCTTCAAAGCTCATGTCTGTCCTGTAGCATAGCTCCAGTTGAAAGTAGATTGCCTTTTGAGTCGTTGCCAGTATTCACAATCACTGATTGAGGTGGATGTGAATGGCAGGGGCAGCAGCCATTCAGTGTTTATGGAGCATTGTGCTAGGCTTCGAGGAACCAAAAATGAATAAGACTTAATTGTGGCTCTATGGAAGTTCTTTAGTGATTCATGTAGTGTAGTATTTGAATTTTTTTAAAAAATAAAGATACCTTTCCTTTTTTTTTTACCTCCATTTATAAAATACTGTCTTCAGAGTTTTAGTTCTGTTATTATTTAGATATATAAAAAGTAACAAATACTTTTCTGGTTATTACTGCTGGTACTTGCTTCCCTTTTCCTTCAGAAATTGAGTGTCTGAGAATACTGATACACAGAGGAATTACATAGGCTGCACTAGCATGTTAAGAAAGACTACCCTGTGAATTATGTGACTAGTGATTATGTCCTCTTTCCACCTTTCCTCTGTTCCTCTTTCTCTCTCTCTTTTTAAGGACTTAGTTGATTGAAGAGAGGTTTCTCAAAGGAACTACATAAATAATTGATTTATAAAGGAGGCAAGGCTCAGTGAGTCCTAGAATAGTTAACTAGTCATCTTCAGTGAAATTAAATCTAAATGGATGAAGAAAGGTGAAAAAGTAATTCCTAGCCTTTGATTTCTGAGATTTTTTAATATAGTATCTTATATTTGGGAGTTTTCCCCTAAAATGAATATATTTTAGATCATTATACCCATCTATCAGATAAAGAGACTGAGATGCTCTCTCTGATTAACTCTGTCTTATTTTTATTACCTTGTACCGTCATGCTTGTAGGTACTCATTAGATAATCTTCCACCAACTGATGATACGTTTCTGTTTTTTTTTTTTTCTCTTTTTGGTATTTTTATTGCAGTCTTAGAGCACAGTAGGAAGAACTCATCAAAAGCTTATTGACTAACTTGTTCAAACATCAAACAGTAAGGCTTTAGCAGAGATGAGCTCTTGAAACTCAATATTTAAGGTTCCATTGAATTTGTATCCAAATCACAGTATAACTTCAAATGTGTGAGATTTAAATTGTTATTTATAATGTAATCTCTGTGAATTGGAACTATGTCCATCTCTTGTGTCTCTAACACTGCTTTAGTGCCCAGCCCAGAGTAGGTACTCACTGTAATATTTGGTGAACATATGTATTTTTTCTTCTAGAACTTAGACTAGACCGTTCCATGTTTGAGTTAATGTTTTGTGTCTCTGATAAATTGTAACTCAGTCTGTCAACAGATATTTAGCATCTCTCATGCATCATGTACTATGCTGGTTGCTGTAAAAGATGAAAGAGCACCGTATAGGTTGCTGTCTAACTAAGGGAAAAAAAATTCGTGAAATAGTAAGTTTTGATACTGATTCTTAAGTGTAAGCAGAGTTCAGAGAAGGGAGAAATTAGTGCTGGCTGATGGTCAGAGAAAGCTTTGTATAGAAGTTGAAGTACTCAAAGAGGTCTTGAAAGATACTCTGAATTTAGATGGAGGGAAGAGAGAGCATTTCAGGAAAAGGAAACAATAATGGGCAGAGATGTAGAAATGAAGTCATATGTAATCAAGCAGTGTAATATTAGAAGTTTGTTCCATGCTCAAACTCCAGTCTAGGGTGTAGCTCAAGGGTTTTCTCCACCTCCATCCTCCAAGGGTAAAAGGATTCCAAAGGTACAATTAGGACTCAGCGCTGACATTTCTCATGGGAGAAAGAAAGGGATTACACAAGTGCTTCCAGACAGGTACTTTTGGGACTTTTTCATCTTCTTTAGGTGATCTTTGGCCTTTCTCTTTGAACTCTTTTTCCCAACTCTTGGAACTTTCCTTCGCCTTACTGTTGATGTTGTAAGACAGAGACCCAAGATATTCTCCATGTAAACAAACTTTATGGAATTGGTCAGGAAGCCTCAGCTAATAGCGAGGAGTAGGTTTTTGTCTGGAATGTCCTTTGTATTATGTATATGTGTTCCTTGAGGATTGAACAGGATGCAATAGGACAGTTCTGGATTCCAGCTCTTTTCTTCCTTGTAAACATCACTGCAGTATAGTTAAGAGGAGGTAGAAATATATAGCGTGTTTGAAGGCAGAAGAAAAAAAAATTCCAGAAAAGGGGAAATAAAAATACTAGAGAGGAGGAGGCCTTTTTGTGGGGTTGAGATCCCAGAAGAGATAGGAAAAATTGGAACCCAGAATATAATTAGAAAGGTTGTCTGCAAAGAAGAGGAGAGAATCAGTTTCCTTTGAATCTGAAGGGAATGCTAAGGAAATGATTGTTTATTTTTCTTTTATATTTATTTAATGCCTGCAATGTGCCAGTCCTTTTTTAAGTGCTTGGAATACAGTGAGAACAAGACAGGCTAGTTCTTTGTTCTTACGGAATTTCCCTTTTAGCTGTAGAGATGAACAATAAACTCACAGACAGTGTTATGTAAGGAATTAAAATAGAAGAGTATGATAGTGATTGGGTGACTATTTCAAATTGTGATTTCAGTAAACACCTCTCTGTGGATGTGACATTAAAGTTGGGGATATAAATGATAAGAAACTACTGATATCAATGTAAAGATTATGGGAAGAACGCTTCAGACAGAGGAAGCAGCCAGTAAAAGGCACTGGGATGGAAATATGCTCAGTGTGTGCAAAGAGCATGGTCCACGAGGGAGAGAGAGAGTATTAGGAGCTAAGATAAGAGCAGTAGGCAGGAGCTAGATCTTAGAGGGTTTTATAAGCCTGGGTAAGAATTTGGACTTTCTTAGAAGTTCAGAGGAAAGTTGCTAGGGAGTCACATGCTCATTTGTTTTTTTAAAAAGATTACTGACTGCTGTGGTGGGAGTAGATCTTGAGGAATCGGGATGGGAGGAAGTGGAGAGTTAGGAGGCTGAGACTAAGATGTAGTAGTGGAAGTGGGGAAAAATGAGTTGATTCTTAATATGCTTTGGAGTCTACAAGAATTTCCTGATTTTTAGTTCAGTAACTGGGTGGTAGTAGTGCCATTATTATTGGGGAAAGGAATAAACTTTTATTGGGGCTGGGCAAGACAGGAGCAAGAGTTCTCCTTTGGCCCTGTTCTATTTGAAATATCTTTAGACATCCAAGGATTGTTGAGTAGGCTAAGTAGGCAAGATATAATGGTGACTGAGACTAGGATCCCTGTGTGTATTGTCAGTGTGTCGTACTGTGGCAGCTTGCATGTTGCTGTGATGCTGGAAACTATGCAGTTGGTATTTCAGATACCAGCAGAGTCACTTATGGTGGACAGTTTTCAGCGGAGCTTCCCAGACTAAGACAGACTAGAAAGAAGGACCTGGTGGTCTACTTCTGAAAAAATTAGCCAGTGAAAACCTTAGGAATAGCAGCGGAACATTGTCTGATATAATGCTGGAAGATGAGCCCTTCAGGTTAGAAGGCACTCAAAATATGACTGGGGAAGAGCTGCCTTCTCAAAGTAGAGTCAACCTTAATGACAAGGATGGAGATGTTTAAAAGGTAAATACTCAGCTCATGGATTATTCCTTATAAGAAAACATGATTTGTAAAATAAATTTCAGAATAAGCCCAGGAATTCCCCTACTACTCCATTTGCTTTAAAAATATTTTAGCTAAGGTATTGGTTCAATGTAGAAGGGCTCAAGGTAGATGATTTCAGTTTGTGTACATGTCAGAATATAATATTAATTAGTGAATTTGATTCTTTCTTAGGAACATACATTGATAGGATCAGCAAATTCCCAAGATATCCAACTATGTGGAATGGGAATTCTTCCTGAACATTGTATTATAGACATCACATCAGAAGGCCAGGTTTTGCTGACTCCTCAAAAGAACACCAGGTAATGTACGTTAATTAGTGTTAATGTCATAATAATTTTTACAAAGAAGAAAGTTATCATAGTGGCGGGCGATATACAGGACATTTGGCCTTTGTTGTCTTTTATTTTTAAGTTCATGTAATTAAGATATTCAGTTAGTTCCCAAGCCCTTTGTGTTTACCTTTTTAATATCTCCTAAACTTATCCCTTTCTCTCTATACCCTCTGCCATGGACTTACTTAGGCTCTCATCAAATCTTGATTGGCTCTCCGGCCAGCGCCCAATCTTCCTGCTTATCACACAGCCTGATGCTGTACTACTTTTGGTAGAAAACCTATTTTGTATCTCGTGTTCCTCTGCTTCTGCCATTCCTTTGACCTGCCAACTCCTGTTTGAGCTTCAAGGTTAAGCTCTGGTATTAGGTACTTTGGGGAGTTGCCTGCTTGGTTTAAATTAAGTGCCCCCAGTTTGTACTATCATTGCATCTTACGCTTCCCATTATCTTAACACTTCATATTGTATTTTTGTGAGCTGTTACCCTTTGTCAACCCACTGGACTTTGAACTTCTGGAGGACAAGATCTTTCTTTTTTGCCTTTCTTTTCCTAGCATGTAACATAAGCCTAGTGTACAATAAGTGCTCAATAAATGAATGAATAAAGAGACACAACATTATATAAATTAAACATTTGTTAGTTTCCTTAAGCTATAAACTTGTTATTGTCCAGACGTTGGTTAACTGAGTTATGTTGATCTTCCAAATTTTCACGCATTTCATTTAATGATATAAAAAAAATCATTAATATCACCACTGATTTCATCTGTACAATCTTTTTTTTTTTTTAAATGTTTTATTGTGTTTTTGGTGAAAGTTTATGCAGCAAATTAGGTTCCCATTTAACAATTTCTACACAATTTGTTCAGTGACATTGGTTACATTTTATACAGTGTGTCAACTTTCTCATTATTTCTGTTCTGGTTGCTCTATTTCCAGTAATCTAGTTTCTCTGCCCCCTTGTCTTCCCATCTTTGCTTTAAAGTAAGTGTTGACTGTTTGGTCTCATATAGATGATTTTTTAAAGGAGCATAGTATTCACGAGTGATATTATTTATGTTACAAATCAGTCTGTTATTTAGCTAAAATATTACCTCCTGGAATAGTTTTGGTTTACAGTTTAAAGAATATATCAGGGTGATAGTCTCGAGGAATCCTCCAGTTTCAACTGGTCCAGTAAGTCTAGACTTTTTAAGAATTTGAGTTCTGTTCCACATTTTGCTCCCATTCTATCAGGATCCATCTATTGTGGATCTAGCTGGGTACCATCTAGTTCTTCTGGTCTCAGGATAGATGAGTTTGTGGTTCATGTAGACTATTAGTCCTGTGGACTAGTTTCTTCTCTGAGCCTTTGGTTTCCTTGATTCTGTTTTACTCCGGATGCATAGAGACCAACAGTTGTATCTTAGATGGCTGCTGGCAAGCTTTTAAGACCCCAGATGCTGCTTACCAAACTAGGATGTAAAACATAAACTTTACATACTATATTATGCCAATTGACTGAGTTTTCCCACTAAACTATGGTCCTAAGCCTTCAGATCCCGTAAACCAATTCTGCTAGGTGTTTGGTAAGTATCCATGTTTGTGCCTCCTATGTGCTTTATTGTTTGTTATGTGTTTAAATGAATATATACGGATGCATATATATATATACACACACCTGCATATAGATACATCTGTATATACCCACTTATATATATACTTATACACTTGTATGCATACATACACGTGTCCACACTCCTATTATTTAGTTGTTGTTGCACTGTTGTATATGTCCTAGCATTTACCCCAAATCTCCTTTTTTCTTGCGTATCTCTTAGTGACCTCATTTACCTTGGTCAAGCTTTTCACACTTCACCCACGTTTGGATTATATTTCCCTCCTCTAAAATAACAAGTACTTGTACATCAGGGTTGTATCCTTTCGCCATACTTATTCAATCTGTATACTGAGCAAATAATAAGAGAACCTGGACTATATGAAGAAGAACATGGCATCAGGATTGGAGAAGACTCATTAACAACTTGCAATATGCAGATGACACAACCTTCCTTACTAAAAGCGAAGAGGCCTTGAAGCACGTACTGATGACCATCAAAGGCCACAGCCTTCAGTATGGATTATATTTCAACATAAAACAAAAATCCTCACAACTTGACCAATAAGGAACATCATGATAAACAGAGAAAATATTAAAGTTGTGTAAGATTTCATTTTACTTGGATCCATAATCAACACCCATGGGAGCAGCAGTCAAGAAATCAAATGACACTCCATAAACACATCCAAACTCCCTGAGGGACTGAATTACTGGGCTGAGGGCTGTGGGATCATGTCTCGGGGAACATCTAGCTCAACTGGAATAACATAGTTTATAAAGAAAATGTTCTACATCCTACTTTGGTGAGTAGCATCTGGGGTCTTAAAAGCTTGTGAGCATCCTCTAAGGTACTCCACTGGTCTTACCCTGTCTGGAGCAAGGGAGAATGAAGAAAACCTAACACACAAGGGAAGGATTAGTCCAGATGACTGATGGGCCACAAGTACTACAGCCTCCACCAGACTGAGTCCAGCACAACTAGACGGTGCCCGGCTACCACCACCAACTGCTCTGACAGGGATCACAATAGAGGGTTCCAGACAGAGCTGGAGAAAAATGTAGAGCAAAATTCTAACTCACAAAAACAAAAAGAAACCAGACTTACTGGTCTGACAGAGACTGGAGAAACCTTGAGAGTATGGACCCCGTACACACTTTTAGCTCAAGAATGAAGCCACTCCTGAGGTTCACCCTTCAGCCAAAGATTAGACAGGCCCATAAAACAAAACAAGACTAAAGGGGCACTCCAGCCCAGGGGCAAGGACTAGAAGGCAGGAGGGGACAGGAAAACTGGTAATAAGGAAGCCAGGGTTGAGAAGGGAGAATGTTGACATGGCGTGGGGTTGGTAACCAGTATCCCAAAACAATATGTGTTCTAATTGTTTAATGAGAAGTTCTGTAAACCTTCATCTAAAGTACAATGTATTAATTATCTAGTGCTGCTATAACAGAAATACCGCAACTGGATGGCTTTAACAAAGAGAAGTTTACTGTCTCACAGTCCAGTAGGCTAGACGTCAAAATTCAGGGTGTGGCTCCAGGGGAAGATCTTCTCTCTCTGTTGGCTCTGGAGGAAGGCCCTTGTTACCAGTCTTCCCTTGGTCTAGGAGCATCTCAGCACAGGAACCTCAGGTCCAAAGGACACACTCTGCTCCTGGTGCTGCTTTCTTGCTGGTTTGAGGTCCCCATGTTTCTCTGCTCGCTTCTCTCTTTTCTATCTCAAAAGAGAATGGCTTAAAACACTGTCTAATCTTGTAGACCTCATCGGTATAACTGCCACTAATCTGTCTTATTACATCATAGTGATGGCATTTACAACACATAGAGAAATCACATCAGATGATAAAATGGTAGATAATCATATATAATCATGACCTAGCCAAGCTGACAGACATTTTTGGGGGACACAATTCAATCCATGACATTCCACCCTTTGGCCCCACAAAATTTATGTCCTTGCCACATGTAAAACATATTTACCTCATCATATTGTAACAAAAGTCTTAAATCAACTCCAAGTCCAAAATCCAAAAAATTTCTCTTTATCTGTGAAATCTAGAATATAAGTTATCTGCTTCCAAGGGTACAATGGCAGAACAGGCACAAGCTAAACATTTCCATTACAAATGGGAGAAGTTGCAGGGAAAGAAGGTATAACAGGCACCAAGCAAGTCAGTAGAATATATTACATTAGCCCTCAAGGCTTTCAGAATAATCCTTTGTTCTCTGAGACAGTTTACACAATGGCCCTGCCCTCCAGACTCTAGGTATTGGCCACACTCTCTGGATTCTGAGTGGAGGCTCCTTGGCCCTGGGCTTTAGTTCCACCTTCTAGGCCCACTGGGACAGCAACTCTGCTCCCTCAGCTTTAGGTGCACCATTCTCCTAGTCCATCTGAGTGGTGACTCCACCCTTAGACACTCCAGAGGCCATGGTTCCACCCTTTGAAACTCCAGAGATCATGGCCATACCTTTCGAGACTGAAGCAGATCGGACTACTTGTGTGCCTTGTCTCTTCAGCTTCTGCTTCCTGCGGCCTCTTGGCTCTTGGGCCTCACATCCGCATCTGCTCTGCTGGGGCAGATGTTGCCAAGCTCTTTAGCTCCACCGGTTAAGTACCTGGAGGCACCCCACTACTCCAGGAAGCCTCCTGTGCACAGGTACTCAGCCCTCTTGCTCCATGGGTCGGCAAGCTTAGCTCCACCAATAAGTGCCTGGAGGCACCCCACTCTGTCAGGAAGCTTCCTGCACACAGGCACTCAGCTCTCTCGCTCCGTGGGTTGGCTCCAGCGCTGTCTTGCACTAGTCTCCTGGTTTCTGCTTCTGCTGGTTCTCTGCCGCTTCAGGTTCTCTGCTGCTGCTGGTCCTCTGCCGCTGCCACTCCTCTATCCATTCACAGTTTCAAAACTGCTTCCACATTTTAGGAATGTGTTAGAGCAGCACCCCACTCCCAGTACCAAATTCTGTCTTAGTTATCTATGCTGCTATAACAGAAATACCACAAGTGGATGACTTTAACGAAGAGAAGTTTATTCTGTCACAGTCCAGGAGGCAAAAGTCCAAATTCAGAGCACTGGCTCCAGGGGAAGACCTTCTCTCTCTTACTTGGCTCTGGAGGAAGGCCTTGTCATCAGTTGTCCCTTGGTCTGGGAGCATCTCAGCGCAGGAACCTCAGGTCCAAAGGATGTGCTCTGCTCCTGGTGCTGCTTTCTTGGTGGTATGAGGTCCCCATGTCTCTCTGCTTGCTTCTTTCTTTTATATCTCAAAAGAGATTGGCTTAAAACACTATCTAATCTTCTAGACCTCATCAGTATAACTACTACTAATCCGTTATATTATAGTAATAACATTTATAACACATAGGGAA